TTGAACTACACGTAGAACTACCCAATCGCTTCGCCTCTCTGGCGCAAGATGTACCCAGGTTAAGTTCGTTTATTAATAGTAAGTTCAGTTGACTGACATTCATGAACCTACCGGAATGTGCGCTCGAAGAGTGAAGACTACTGAATGTCAACAGCAACTACTGATCTTCGGTCATTCTTCGCTCAGAGACCGCATAGTTCACAATCTGCCTAAAGCATCCGCGTCCAGGGCACTACATGTCCAGTTTAAGTAGCTAGGATACCAATCTCAGTTTGTAATTTGCGCTTTAGAGCACAAGCGGTTTAACACACTGCCTTGGAATAGTTAGGGAAGTCTGTTCATTTCCGGCATGGGAAGAGTTTTGTCAGTAATGAGTTCGTTGGACAAGGAAACAAAGAAATATATCAGCATAATAAAGTATCAAGTCCAGCTTAATAGAATAAATTACAAAGTACGGTGTATATGAGACGCATAAGAGATCGAGATTCGCATTCATGACGTTACAGCTTCTGTGTAAGGTAGTTCTCGTGTCAGTTCAAACCAGGCAAGATAAATGTTTAATTTTGCATCGATTTCTTAGATGACGCCCTCTTGCAGCTTACATCGCAGTTTGCTTTTTGAATGCAATTGGACATTAACATTTTAAAGTTCAACGTTACTTCAAGCTCACGTCGCTTTATATAGAGATTGGACAGGCACCGGAGCCTCGGCGTATTGTTCAGGCGAGACGACAAATTACTATGAGGAACTACAAGAATGTAAACGGTTGAGATTGAGGGACTGCACTTCTTGAAGCGAACATCCGTGGTCGTTAAGAGATTGCTAACTCCTTCCCAGTATGTCATCACAAACCGAAAATCTAGATGACTCCCGTCATGATCGAAACGATCATGTTCCTCAAGACTAACCGATTGTTCTGGAATTCAAAGCTTGACGCCAGTGCCACCAGAGAGGCACACACTGATGAGCGCGGATAGCACCGATTTCAGTACATCAGTGCAGTTGAGTATTGCAGCTTCCACTCCAATTGGGTATTGAAATATGTCGCTTTCATGCAATATCTCCTTTTTATTGCAATACATTTCCGGCGGATAAACCATTTGATTTTTTTTTTCCTTCCCTGGTTCAAAGTTGTAATGTTGTACTGTGATGCTGTGTTAGTTTAGCATTTGCTATATTAGGGGGCGTCAGATTTGAACAAAATCCAAAAATAATCACATGTCATTTCGCCCCAAATCACATGTCATTTTCCGGCGAATAGCATGTCATTTTATAATCACCTACCTCCAGAGGTTGGTGATTAAAAAATATCAGGTGCCATTTGGCGGAATATGAAATCCCTTAAAAGTGTGTTCAGTCTGCTTTCCTTCCCAAAAGGAAACGTCTCGCGTGCGCTGCAAAGGCGGTTTACCTTCGTCTATCCAAGACGACACACGTGCTACTGACCCGAGTGGGAACGTCCTTACGACGTTAGTGGCGTTAACTTTGGTGCTGCAGCTCCAGTGAGACCTCAAATTGTGGCTGGTGAGCTCCGGTCCGTTGAACCGGCCTAGCCGATGTGTTGCAGCTTGTCTTACTACTCGTTCTTTGTGTAGATATGCTAGGAAAGGACAAAGCTACTGCTAAATCCTCTCAGGACCATTTATCCCCGGAGGACTATTGTGTTCTCGTGGACTGGGTTGAGGTCAAGGGGCAATACAGGAGACGGATGATATAATAAAGCTGAAGCCACATTGGGGCTTGTGGGCTGTCGTTGGCAAACACGCGATGACTTCCTATCAAGTCACAAATGAACTCAAATGACTCTCTTGTGGTGCGTGGGAGGCTCCGAAACTCCCCATCATCTCAATGTTGAAAGAAGTTTCTTGCAAATTCTCGACTTGTCGCTGATTCACTCTCGGTCTCCATTAGCGCCGCGATATAACTTGCAC